AGATAGATAGATAGATAGATAGATAGATAGATAGATAGATAGATAGATAGATAGATAGATAGATAGATAAATAGATGGCAGAGATAATATAGTCATGAACCGAATATCCTGTCCGTTCCAGCTCAACAGAATCGGACTATAGGACGAATCAGCTGACGTGCCGCTTAGTCCCCTCCGGTAACAAATAAAGACCGTGTATATCGAGAAGGAAATACAACGTTATCATTATTAGGATAAACAGTAAAATTATTCATATTAATAAAAATAACCAGAAACGTGCAAGAACAAAAACCGAGATGAACACACTTGCGAATATGCGCGAATCCGTCCAGAGGCAATGTGGTCACATAGTCCAACGTATTCGATTGAGATGTACCACGCTCATCTGACCCGGTTGTGGCTAAACCCAATTCCCGTTCCGCCTCTTCCTCATTGGTCCCGGTGGCCAGACTAGGCAAACGCCACACACGTGCACCTGTGCGTAAATCGGGACGATCAGCCGAATCTGAGGGACATTTCAGGGAGATCAGATGAGAAGTGGTTTCGGGTGGGAATGATGCATAGAAGACGAGATGCCACAAATTTAACGACACATCATGTAACTTGAATGAGAGCATGCAAGGCATGAACCGATGACAATTATTTCCTTGTTTTTACTTCTCAACGCTTCAGATTGTGCTGACACTTTCAGTGCTAAGAAAAGGTTACCGATGCTAGTGAGCGTACCAAACTGTGCTATGGATGTGAACTGGGACTCGCGAAATAGAGTTCGGACCGGCCTCTTATTTGTGTGCGTTCTGTCGCTGTGTGATATAAAGCATGCAGTTCGTCGACGTAGCACTTGTATCCATGGCTCATCATTGCTTTGTGCGTGCGTCATCTAACGCTTTATGCTACGTTGTACTGGATTCTCTTCGTCGCGATTTGTCTTGTGCTTAACTGGTTGTGTTCTTGTGACAGAAACTGCATTACACAGCAGGAAGATTGAGGGTGTTTGGGAATGCAAACAGAGCAATAGTTCGGGAAAAGAAAGACAGAAAGATTGGAGGTGAACCATGGTTAAGGGTGCTTGACCGCCGGTCTTCGAGATGAGCGAAAACCGGAGTTGATGCAAAGGAGACCCAGAAGAAAGTTATAAAGATGAGAAACCAAAATCGCAACGACAGGAAAGCTATGGAAAAAGATTGCGAATCCGATGTCCGCAGTGAATCTCTACGTTTGTCGGGCGGTGGTGGCCAAGTGGTTAGATCACCAACTCGTGACCTGGGTGTCCCGGGTTCAAACCATTTCACTGCCGCCCGTCTTCCCTATTTAGGTATTTTCCCCAGGCAGCCTTTGTATGGCCGCAACCCCCTTCCTGAAAGT